TTCTCCCTAGAGATCCAGTAAGGATCATCTCTTATTGATCTGGTGTTACTTCAGGAGGAAACCTAAACTAAACTAACTTTATTTATACTGGATAGCTCTATCAGTTCTAAACTGTTCTTCCTAGAGGTGCAGTAAGGATCATCTCTTATTGATCCAGTGTTTTTGCAGGAGGAAACCTAAACTAAACTAACTTTATTTGTAATGGATAGCTCTATCAGTTCTAAACTGTTCTTCCTAGAGATCCAGTAAGGATCATCTCTTATTGATGCAGTGTTACTACAGGAGGAAACCTAAACTAAACAAACTTTATTTATAATGGATAGCTCTATCAGTCCTAAACTGTTCTTCCTAAAGATGCTATAAGAGCAATCTGTTATTCTTCCAGTGTTACTACAGGAAGAATAATTCTGTGATGAATTTATAATTGTATGTTTCATTTCAGTGATGGAGTTAAGAACAATCCAATCAGATATCCAAGAACCATCACCAGATATTACATTTCCAAATATCTCTGATCCTCGTATCCGCAAATGGACGAAACAAAGCAACGTTATTTCACTCTCGCCTGCAGCTTTGGATGAGGTCGCACAAGGTGCTAACGTCGAGGCTCACGTGTCTGGGGTTTTATTTAAAACCGTTGGAAATTTGAGTATTCCTGTTGAAGAAGGACAAGGGTACGTTGTGGCGTTTTTTGAATAGTTATAAGTAATAAAAACTGATAATCTTTTGTGTTTTCAGTAGTAATGAAACCGTAGAAAGTGGAAATTTGATGTCTATGTCTGTCTATCCAAAAATTACTGGCGACCTAGATCCTCCCATTAGAATTGCACTTGCACATTTAAATGTAAGTTGGTACAAAAATAATATTGGTGGTGGTGATGATGGTGGTGATGCGGTGATGGTGGTGGTGGTGGTGATGATGGTGATGGTGATATGGTGATGATGGTGGTGATGGTGATGGTGATGATGGTGATATGGTGATGATGGTGGTGATGGTGATGATGGTGGTGGTGGTGGTGATGGTGATGGTGATGATGGTGATATGGTGATGATGGTGGTGGTGGTGGTGATGGTGATGATGGTGATATGGTGATGATGGTGATATGGTGATGATGGTGGTGATGTTGATGATGGTGGTGGTGGTGGTGATGATGGTGATGTGGTGATGATGGTGTTGGTGGTGATGATGGTGGTGATGGTGGTGATGGTGAAGATGGTAATAGTATCTAAGGTGTAGTTATTGGTGATGATGATCATGCATGATAATAATGTCAATTATTTCTATCCAAATTTTCTAGCCTGAAATGAGTCACTTTAAACAAGACTGTGTATTTTTAAATGCCAGCGCAAGGTAAGAATACGATACCAATGTCTGACTGTATTTTCGCATTAGTCACATGACAAACACTGTTATGGCAGCTTCCTCCAGGCGTTCCAGTTTCCACCAATTTAGAACTGATAGAACCATCCAGTATAAATAAAGTTAGTTTAGTTTAGAGTGATGTTCTCCTATATAGATTTCTCAGGCGGCAGTCACACTAAGTATATTTTCCTTGTTTTTACCAGCGGTGGTGAGCTATGGTCCAACAAAGGATGTAAGGTTGCTGATGTCAATGAAACACACACAACTTGTGAATGTAACCACATGAGTAGCTTCAGTTTGTTGGTCGATAAAAGTAAACCTAACGTAAGTTATTATTACATTCACAACCCAACGTTTCAACAATCAAGTCTTGATCACGGTTGATCTAAAATCACAACGTTGTTCTTTATACTCAAGGGATGTCATCATTCCCCAATCAGGAAAAATATTATTGTGGAAGATGGTTACTGTTTTCTCTATGCATGGTGAGATGAGCGTCATCCTGCTCATTCTGTGGTTTGCGTTTGAGCTACTGTTCTTCATTTGACTGTTCAGACACAAACAATGACAGCTTATTATGTACCTAACCTAGACCCACACGCTTAAAATATTAATGAACTAAATATGTTCTATTTATCACCTAGGATTTCATTCCGAAAACCACCCCTGTATCAACTGGTGAGGGTGGTGCTGGAAGTGGCAGTAGTTCGTCTTCTGGGATTGTTTATATTGCTTTGTTGTTCTTACTTATCTTGGCTGTTATTATCATCATTATATTTGCTGTCTGGAGGTATGCCATTCTTCTGTGTTCTACTTAACTTTTATAGCTTAAAAACAAACTTTTTATTGAGATAACGTGACACTACAGAGATGTAATTTTTGTACTTTTGTTCTTAGGAAAAGAAAAGGAAAGAGCAAAGATGAAAAAGACAGTGAAACAACCAAATCAGGTATTTGCTTTAATTGCCCACATTGCCCACAATCCTATCTGTAAAGGTCTATTTACATCACACAAATTTTGCCTAAAACTGTCGTGTGCAACCTGCCTACAACTTGAGTTGTACTGTGTGAATCAACATACAACACGCCTACAACAACGTAGGTGAGTTGTGTCCTTGATTTACACAGTACAACTCAAGTTGTGGGCAGGTTGCATACGACAGTTTTAGGCAAACGTTGTGTGATGTAAATCGACCTTAAAGCTCGTCGTATTTGAATGTCTGAATCAGCATCCCTATAGCTGTCAGTTGTGATAGCGCTGCGTGGTACATTAATTGACAGAGACTTTGAGTAGGATTATCGGTTGCCTTGTGAGAGGGATTGAATTCCTGCCTAAACGTGTAATAAAAGAGGTCGTGGTATACTACATCAATATACGGGTTCTCTTCTAGGTAAAGGCGGTGACGAAAATGAAGCTAGCGCATCAGGAAGTACAACTGAGGTAAGCTCAAGAAACTTTAATCATTCTTGCCACAAAGGATGTGAATATGCGTATTAAAATATCTGTGCCAATAGGGTGGACGTGGTCAATCAAGTCGATCGTCGTCTTCAGGGGAGAAGAAAAAACGAAAGAGAGGGGAGGTAATGTGTGACGAGTGTTTCTGTTTTGACCTTGGTGATATGAAGAGCCAAGCGGCCCAAGGCATATTTTAACATATATACTGGGGGCCATTTGGTCCCGCATGCCCCACTAGTTACTAGCTCAGGCTAGGCCCTAACCTAACCCCGAGTGACAAAAATCTTACTCTGGGGAATCTACACTGGACCCTAATTTTAGTCCCCCCCCCCAACGGTAAAAGTTTAAAATATGCACTGAGGTGAAATGAAGAGCCAAGCTCGGCCTTGTCTGTCTTATTCTTCTTGTTGAATTCTTGTTTGTGGTTTTCTCCACAGGGTCGTAAAGGAGGTCGTAAGAAGAGCAAGAAGCCACATACTTTGGACAAAGATGCTATCGCAGAGGAAAATCAACAAGACAGCGAATCTAAAGTAAGTTCTTTTTATCTCATGGGGATTCACTCGCTCCTACGAGGGAATGACGCCATGATATTTCAGGGTCTACTTAGATAGGCGTACACACATTTGCATTTGTTTTTAGTGGTGAGGTGACATAATAGAAATCCCAGAACCAGCCGTCAATTGAGATAGAAAATCAAAATCTTGAAAATCCAAGATATTGACTTGTTTTAACAATACGTGATGTGATCATATAGGCGTAACCGTGATAAAATTAACCAAAAATAACTTAAAATAATTGAAATAAAACTATAAACAAAACCTAAACTTTTTAAAATTTTCCCAAGCCTGAAGATACAAGAGCCTCGAAAAAACGTCAACAACAGAAAGAACGGGAGGAGCAGCTGCTCATGAAAGAAAAAGCAATGATATTCTCAGATTATCGTCAACCCTATAACTTCCTCGCACATGAAGAGGCCGCCCCTGACCCTCTGGACTCATCTACCCCTCTTCCCACAGCATCGAAGGCGGATTCTTACCCACGCCGTCACAAGAGGCCGACGTCATTTCAGGAGTCCACCCCGGGCCAACCTGGATTTAATTTACGTAAACATAACTCGGAGAGCAATTTTCCGATGCAAGCTTTACATCGTAGGTGGGGTGCCGACTCCCCAAGAGATAGAAGGGGTAGCCCCCAGAGACAAGGGAGTGTACTCGAAGGTTCTATACGAGAAGAGCCCTTAGAGGAACAAAGACTAGCGGAAGATACTAAGGGGGAAGATACCCCGAGGGAGACAAGTACCCCTTCTGAGATTGTCCAAGCAAAATCTAAAAAGAAATTTTGGAAACGAAAAAGTAAGGAGAATCTTAACTTAGAAACTGTCCAAGAAGGGGACCCAGCTACTCCTGAACAGGAATCGCCTAAAAAGAAGAAAAAGATTTTTGGAAAAAAGAATCGAAGTGGTAGCCGAACTTCATTGAGTGCTTCACAAGAGAGTTTAGGCGCATCAGGTAGTGGTGAACAAATACAGAATGAGCCTGAAAGACTCGTATCAAAACCGCCATTAAGCCCTACCAAGAAGAAGAAATTTTGGCAGCGAAAAAAATCAAGTAGTCAAGCATCTTTGGGTGCTACCAGCCCTAGGCCTGCAGAATCAGGTGGAATATCCGACGAAGGCCTGCAGAGTGGTGATGATGGACTTGTAGAAACACCCGAAAAACGAGGGTCTATTCTACGACGGTTGAGTAAAAGTGGAAGTAGGACTTCCTTAAGTAAAAGTGGAAGTAGGTCTTCCTTAAGTAAAAGTGGGAGTAGGTCTTCCTTAAGTAAATCTGAGGAAAGCCTTCAAGGGGAGCAGGCCTCCGCAGAAGGTTCACCGAAGAAGCGTAGATCGTCTCTCTTAGGGAAGCTAAGCAGAAGCGGGAGTAAAAGCTCTCTGAATAAATCCCAAAGCAGTCTCGAAGGCTTAGACTCTGCGGACGACGACATTGGAAAGTCACCTAAACGTAAACCCTCTTTGTTGAGGAGGTTAAGTAAAAGTCGGAGTTCGTTAAGCAAATCTGAAGACAGTCTCGAAGGTGATCCGGGTGTTGCCGACGATGGCTCGAAGGCATCCCGAAGTGGTACCGAAGATGGCACGAAGACATCGCGAAAGTCTTCAGTTTTGCGAAAATTAAGTAAAAGCAGTAAAACTGGTAGCCGTAGATCATCAAAATCCCAAAATATTCCAAGCAGTTCAGGGACTGTTGAGGGTGATGCACAAACTGTAGTCCAGCCGGGGGGTGCGGAAGAAAAACTAAGTCAGAGTGGTAGCACATTATCACTCAGTAAGAAGGACGTAGAAGGCGAAGGTTCAACCCTCCGTAAAAAGAAGGGATTATTTGGAAAGAAAAAATCAAGCAGTAGAACTTCTTTAAATAAGGAGGAAGGCGGAAACTAGTAAAAGTTTAGGTGGATATAAAGCTGAACCAATCACCAGAAAAAGTCGAAGACAAAATAAGGTGTTTTAATCATAATCTTGAACTGTCTTTGTCAGTAAAGGTAGTGCCAATCAAATGAACAAGCTTTCGTTGATAGGGATGGAACTACCTGAAAAATATAAGGAGAATTTCGACGTTTCGAGCGAAGGGCCTTCGTCTGGAGTTACTAGCCTTCTGTTACCAGCCTAAGTCGCTAATAACTCTAAGACGAAGGGCCTTCGCTCGAAACGTCGAAATTCTTCTTATATTTTTCAGGTAGTCGCATCCCTATCAACGAAAGCTTGTTCATGTTTTGAACCTTTTCATGACATATGTTTAAAACAGCGGTGACGTGCTAATGTTAAAACATTAGTTTAGTTTAGAATTAATCTTATATTTTGTATAGAAACCAATTTTTAATAAAGGACATTGACGTTTTAATAATTTCGGCTTTGTTAAATTGCAAAACGTCCCTGCACCCATGACGCATTTAGTCGCAAAATGTAGCAAAATGTTATAGCAACAAGATTACAGCCAATGGCATGTAATTATTGTTTTATGTAAGTTATTAGTATACAACGCGAGACGTTGTGTCGTAAATGGTAATTTTAAAATTAAGTTTGATTAATTTAAACAACAAAACACTATAGCTTAGATTTGGCAAGACCAGTCAGCACTACACAACTCAGAAGATTTGGAACTCACAAAATGTCTCGTATTTTCAACCTAAATGTTACCATACTTAGTAGTGACAATGGTCAATGGGCAATGTTGTCTCTAACGACCTACCTGAACATGATTCTACTATTTATGGCCTACTGTGACTCCGAGAAGATTTTTTCAAGGCTGAGAATTGTTCGTTGTCTCGCTTTGGTTGACTTTTTGGGCGCCGTGCTGTCGCAAGTCATTCCGAATTGTATCCTATCCAGGTATTTCAGCGGATGCTCCAACATGTTACCTTGTGAAGTATGTTTTCTGGTTTTCGAACGTCTCGCCTTTAACGTTAACACGAACTTGCTGAAGCTCACGCAAGCCACTTTATGTGACACGTTTCGCGGTAACGTGCTCACGCAGACTTCGTTTCGTGACACGTTTCAAAACAGCGTGTTCTACCATGGGCTAACCTTGCTATTCAGTTTGGTATTGGTGACGCTATTTTTCCCCACTTCTGTTGAAATGCCGCTAGTGTTTCACTCGGTGATCAAAAATACGCTGCTCCGTGGAGTGTTTTTCACTCTGGATGGGATGGTCATTTATGGAGTTCATGTTCTGGCTCGAAAGGATGAAAAGAAACAGGGAATGGTTTGGCAAGTTTAGGTTGAGAACGGAAAAGATATATGAAGACATTTTTGCTAAGTCTAACGCCTGTATTCTTAAAGCTCACTCACACGCAAAGAGTGGAGATTCAATCTGAGCTTCCCTTGAGTGTCAATGCTGTTTTGGAATAGCTGGAGGGTGAGTAGTCAGATAGTAAGGTACAACACTAACCCTCCAGCTATTCAAAAATAGCACTGACGCTCAAGGGAAGCTCAGATTGAACCTCCATTCTTTGAGTGTGAGTAAGTGAACTTTTAGAATACAGTCGTAAGAC